AACTTACTATATATACGAAACTATAAAATAAATAGAATTAGTGTCAAAGAGTTAGGCAATCACCGTAGTGACTGCTATCTACCCCAGACGGTTTATTAATATTATGGTCTCGCTTGGCACTAGAGACACACACTCCTCCTTTAACGACGACACACAGTACACTATTTCGCACGAAGGTATTTACTTTAACTATTCGTTTATTACTCAATAATTCCCAGTCGAAAGACTGGTTAATTCTTTATTTACATTTCGCTATTTTATGCGATTCAAACAATTACATACTTTGTATTACCATTTAACTATTTCTTTGTTATTAATTAATTTAACTTTTCATTGTTCCCAACTCAATCGTCATATTCATGCACTCGATGATCAAGGTACCTATCGTACCCGATCTTGCATGTACCGCCCCACATCTCAATTAATCTCCGACCCTCAATTCCCAGCACGTTCCTGATCGATCACACAATCACATGGATCGATCGTTCCACATTCCTTTACTGCTCTTACGCTCTTCAACTTACTAAACAATCCATCATCTATTTGCATACCTTTTCTAGGTACACAGGGTCTTCGTTAACTATGCGACAATTAGCTCCCTTGTAAAATTTTTTAATTCTTTTTTTATGAAAAATTACGTTCTCAAAGAATAAAGTGCCTGTCCTACGGTTTTTAAGCGTATCAATTACTTGTATAAATATTGATATTCCGGTATTTGATCAACTGAAATTTCCGCATGAGACCCCTTTAATGTGACTTAGGTTGTTCTCAAGCACCTCCCTCTATGGCTAATAAAATATCTTATTGGTTGAAAAATTGATCGTGCTTAATCATTTCGATCAAAAAAACCTGGACCTAACAACCATCTTTTTTTCATAGGGTTATTTTGATTAGTAAAATTTAAAATCCGCATTTTGCACAATGAATTTCCGGAAAAATCGTTATAAAGATCATTTCAATTAATTTCGATTAATCAAAATGATTGAACAGCATCTCGATCACTAACAAATCTCATTGAAGGAGCTGTTTGAGAACAACCTTAGACATCTCACAGATCAGACAATCTAAACTGTGAAATCAGACTCTACCTTTTATCATAGCAGGAAAAAAAATCTTTATTGTAGCAGAAGAAAACGCTTGTGGTGGATAAGTTTATATATTTTCTGGTATTTCCATTTAAACTTTATCCTTTTCAATAGGGACTCCACTGGAAAATGCCTACTTTACTCTTGACCGCAACTGGTCACTAAGTTTCCTATTCTATTGATAACAGCGTAATAATTTCTTGGCCGATAAATGCAGTGATACATTTACGATCTCAGCCATAATTAATAATGAAGATTTACCCAAAACTGCAATTGAACGAATACGAGTTAACCTTTTTCTATCTCTTTCATTAATAATAGATGAACGAGTCTGAAAAATAATAACTTTTTCAGATAGGATACTCAACCAACACCGCTCTGTCACGGGCTAAAGTGACATTTCCGAAACATAACCGCGCCTCAAAAAACAACCTCTTGGAGGCTTGGATGGCGCATGAAATCTTTCTGCTGTGTTGAAAGGTACAGTCAGACCTACTAAATGCAACCCCTCTAGCCCCACAAATGGGATTTATAGGTCTCAGAGTCATTAGGGCGAAACATATATTTCATAACCATATCATCATAGTATGGATTCTCATCATAGTAACTAATTGTTTGGCCCATTTATAAACCATAAATGCGTCCACGTGATTATTAGCCAATCAAATTTATTATTTCTATGCTACTAAAGGCATGTTTGTCACGTGAGAATGGTCGTATTATGATCTTATTAGTGTTCTCTAATTACATCCCCTCCCTGCACGGGTCCCGACGACGTGCATTTAGGATGTCTGGTACCGTATGCCACTGCTTACAGTATCCCAGAAATAATACCCCATGATTAAGACCCGGGTATTATTCACCATCACTATCCAGGGATGGTAAATGACTTTAAATGATCTGATGACTCAAATGACAAAATGACTAGTCATTAGTCATTTCGAATGTCTAAATGACTGAGAAGGTCATTTAACCTACGTTAATTGGCGTTCTAACCCTTTTTAATCAATAAAATTGGTTCCAAATTTTATATAATAAACCATAATTAATAATCGTAACTCTTTTAAAAGTCAAATTTTATTAAGCTAGTCAATATTTATGCCTTAAGTAAAGCTTCAAAATAGCAAATTGCATATACTCCAAAAGTTTTATCTAATTCAATAACTTTTTATTAATTCACTTTCGCATTTATGGAAGATTAAGAATTTTTTTATTTAAATGTGAAATGTGGAAAGTTATTCAAATTACAGAAATTTTTAGAGTATATATGCAATTTGTTATTCCGAACTACTTAAGACATACTGTAACTAACGACTAGCTTAGTAAAACTTTAACTTATACTGTGTATGGAGCACTATTATCGGCTAGAAACCCAATAACTTTTTTTAGTTATCAAACCAATAAAATTATTTTATGCGCAAATGACTCAAATGACCTCAATGACCCAAATGAAAGGTCATTATTTATGAATTGGGGTCATTTAAATTTCGATCAAATGACCACTACCAACCTGTTTCTTGAATAGGACTCGGGGTAAGGCTATAATGATTTACTACTTTTAATATGATATATCCTCAGATATAGTACCCTGTTCTTCTCACAGTACCCATGGGTACTATTTAATTTTAAAAATGGAATTCTTGAATAAGACCCCGGGTGCTGTAAGCAGTGGCATACGGTAATTGGCTTATTATAACTGCGGATAGTAAACTCCTCCATTAGCCTGCACATCAGAAAGTTCGAAAGGTATTAAATAACTGGCCAAAAAGTGTTAACCTATAATGGGTTTGTTAAACTACGCTTTTTATTAATAAATTAGTATTAAAAACACTTTATGTGTTAAACAACCTTAGTTATTTATCTACATATCACGTTAACAAACAAAATATACAGTTAAATAACTTAAGAAACCTAATATAGGTTAACACTTTTATGTTAGTTATTTAACACCTTTCAAACCTCACGATGTAAAAGTTCTTTGAAGGATGTAACTTGGTTAAGGCTGTTACGATACTTATATGTAAGATGGGGCACATAAAGAATACTAACATATGATAATAGTTCTTTTTAATTGTATGATCAAATCACCATAGTCACGTCTTTAGAGGTATAAATTATTAATGTAAGTCATGTATTAATGATTTTAGGTAGTGTTCTTAATCAGAGCAAAAGGTATAATTGATTATAAATCAATTATTGCTAACTAATCGATTAGCTAAGTTAGGGTTAGGAGTATTTATCAATCATTCTATGATCTTGGGCTTAAATGAAGATTATGAATCAGTAGAGTTTTATTTAAGCTCTTAAATTATTTTGGTAATGTATTAGGTGAGATAGATATAAAACTTCTCTGAATGCTTTTGGTTAGTGAAGGGATTCCCAAAAATCCCGCGCAGGATACAGTAGATAATCAATCAACTGGTTTTCAAATTTCGCGGAATAACATCAAAATTATCGGGATTTTAGGGTCTACTAGCAGCATTAATATTATACTACGTATCCCGCACGGGATCCAAAAAAAAATCCCACGAGATCACGCGCAGGATTCCGCGCGGATCATGCGCGTTACTTTTGGTTGATGGGTTCTGGTACGTACTGTATTTACGATTTCTCGAAAGCCATTTTATCAACAGTCATTTAACTATAAAAATTCTGGAACAAATTAAAAATTTTATATATCCCATGATTTCTTCTACAGGTCCAAGCATAATTATTAAGTCCCGTATTTTCGCGTAATAACGCTCATGAGCGTTATTTCGAAAATCGTGTCCCTAAAAATATTATATATAGTTTCAAAATAACGCTCATACGCGTCCCAAAATAGCGCACACCGCCTAGTAAGGATGTTATTTATAGTAAGATTTAAAAATGCTTCGGAACTGGATTTAGTACTAAGTAAACCTTCGAACTTCAACAAAAGTTGGATTCAGATCAAAGCTAGAAAGAAGGTTATTTAGTACTAAACCTAGTATTTTCGGTTGTTTACTTTTATACAAGAGTTACATAAAATTTTTTAATTATCTCAAAATAACGCGCATATACTCAAAATAACGCGTTATTACGCGAAAATGCAGTATGTATAAAATATACATCAGAATATAAATTTCCTGTAACTACCTAATATGCGTCAAAAACCTGATTTATATTAGCAATATATCAGAGAAAATACCAGATTAATTATTTATGTATTATATCAGATACAGTACCTGATATTCACACCTTGGACCCGTGTTCGGTCTCGTCCTAAGAATCATCATCTTCCAAAGAGTTTTGTGATTCTCGAGACGAGACCCGAGGAGATATCAGGAAATATATAGTTTGCTTTAGTTTGTTCCAGAACTTATGAAAACAAAAACTGCAAAATATGATTGATACAGTAAAGTGTTGTCAAAGTGGCATTTGGTAAATTTAGTTATAATGCGTTTGATTTAATAAAAAACAAATTCATCAAGAATTAGAATAATATTATAAACTTTGAGAAATGTTATTTCCACACTTCTTTTTATAATACCCCACACCCCGCTAATATAAATTATGAGAATATTAGTTAGGATTTAAAGTTAGGGTTATTATTAGATGTATTAAGAGTATTTAGATTTTAAAAAACAAAAATACCGTAATTCCAACTTTAAATCATAACAAAACCTTAATAATATATAGCATATAACGAGGTGTGGTATTATCGAATATCAGATCCCTAAACATTTATGGTTACCAATGCTAAAGGTTATTATCATTACAATGCACATTATTATACCAGGTACGTATTATATTCACATGAGACTTTGTAGTGTGCATAGTAATATCTATAATGAATACGTATAAAGAAAGGTTCAATCAAATCAGATATTCTTTATTTTAACAATATTATTTCTTTGCATTTTGCAGAAACTGTTTATTAAATAACGGACTGTGATGGATTCTGGGAAAGGTACGTATGTATATGCGTGTGTTGATGCATTGTTTGTTTGCTCTCTTGAAACATATGCTAATCAAAACTCAAAGAGTTGATTGCATTAACATTGCAGTTGCACCCTTGCTGCTGTATAAAAGGATGGAAAAAAAAGACGAGTCAAAATTTTATCTGACATTTTAATCTAATTTTAACTAAAATGCACGAACAAGAGAAGACTTGTTAACAAAGATATGTATCACTATTAATAATTGGACATTAAATTTTTTTTTTTTTTAAAAAAAAAAAAACTATATATTTATATATTATCGAAAAAAAAAAACTTAATTTTTTATATTAGACAAATTTCAACGAGATAACCAACAAATTCGACTTCGTGATGGGATATCCCAACAAGCTGGCTTCGTGGCGAAATAACCAACAAATCTAGCTTCGTGACAAGGTGGGGTAACAATAGAATTGATTAACGAATTAATGATTATCTATGATTAGAATGCTCTTAAAATTCTGGACCATCATTTATTTTTTGATAACGTTAGTTCATCCACAAATAATTTGATAGAATCCGCAAATGAACAACGTCAAGAATTAATAATTGGTAATATTTAAAGAATTTTTTTTTAAATGTGATAACAATAATGTTGAGGTACATCCTTATTTAGCATTTAATTAATTCGAAATGCCCGCATGCATGTAATATGTCACCAAAATCATTAAAAGGGATGTTCATTTCAGTTAATTAAAGCAGATAGTTTAATTTAAGCAATAATACGTAACAATAAATTTAATATAAGTTATATGAATTTTTTAGTCTATTTTGATAGCGACTAAAATTATGTAGATAGATTAATAAAGGAACTCTACTTCTATCAATTGTAAAAATTCAAAGAAACCGAGAACTAAAGGATTGTCAGACAACGAAAACGTGATTGAACGATTACTTGCATCCTTGTTTATACCTTGTTTTCACGAATAGTAAGGAGTACCTAAAAAAAGAGTTTACCAATAAACTACATAATCGTCATATATTATGTATTATTTGCATTTAATGAAAAGTAAAATGACTACACGAAAAATCTTAAGGGTTACATATGTAATATGTGTAAATCAGCATGAATCTACATATCCTTAATCCGTTTCCCAATGACCCGAAAGAATGAAATTGTAGTGTCATAGCGAATAAATTATGTGCAGGTGAAATGAAGACAGATAATGCAAATAATTCGATTGCAATAAATTTGTCTGACGAAGACATGCGTTTAATTCCTAGTATTTTAGTTTCTACCGACATAATTGGTCCAACAAATAAAGCTTCGAGCATGTGACAAAGAAAATTATAGTTTTTAAACGAGAATCCGGTTTACACGAATCTTGGCTTAATATCTTATTTTTTTCTTAGCTTTAAAAAAGGCTTAAAGACCCCTCTCGTTGCTACCTTTGCAAGCAACAAAAATTTTCAATCCCTTCTCCCTCTACGGCTAACCATCTATACCGAGTTTCCTTTCCTTTATTTGACTTTTATAAAGTCAAATCTTCTTTCTTATCCCTTCCATCTCTTTTCTCAAGCCGTTTTCAAATATCCTAACCAGCTATTAAGGTCTCTACATAATTGGAGACAACATAATACCAATTGGCTGGACAGAAATATTTTGTACTTCTTTCACATATTCAAACATGAAATCCTCCTCAATTTTCCTTTCATTGAGTCTTCTCTTTGCTGCCGTTGTTTTGTCTTCAGCCGCTCCATTTTCTTCACCCACTGGTGTTTCTTCACCTAACGGTGATGGTGATGGTGAATGGTTTTTCGGTTCAGCAGTATCATCAAACCAAAATTCTAAAAGAGATGATAATAGTGGTTGGATTTTGGGTGTAGCGCAAAGTTCATCGCAAAATCCATCGCAAAATCTTACTCAGCGTGACGGAAGTCAGTTACCACCTGTGAATACTCCAAATACCCCTACCCTAAATACCAAAGAAAACCCTGTCCCAGCTACCCAAGATACAAAAGATAACCCTTCTGCCCAAAGTGCCCCAGCTATCCCCAAAAATAAATCTCCTGTCCAAAATGCCCCAGCTACCCAAAATCCCCCAACTACTCCAAATGCCAAAAATACCCCAGAAACTCAAAGCAATCCAAATGCCCCATCTACCCCAGGTCTCGCAACTACGGGCGACGATTTTGCAGATAGAAAAAAGCTTACAATTCATAATTCAACCAAATCATCATCATCTTCATCATATACTGAAACAGACGTCCATACAACTTTCTACAAGGATAATCAGCTCCTGAATGCTGCTTGCTATGGGCGTAACGGCCTTAAGCCATACAATGCTAAACCAACCGACTACATTGCTGCAATACATATGAGCGATTTCGAAATGTGTTTCAAATGTATCCAGGTTAAAAATTGCGAAACAAACAAAACAACTACTGTCAAAGTTATCGATAAATGTGCAGGTTGTGCTCCGGGTTGCATTGATTTAACCCAGACAGCTTTCAAATGCCTTGCTCCTCTTGATCAAGGAGTCATCAATATCGCTTGGCGTCCTATTACATGCCCTGCAGATGGAGATTGGCCAGATTATGAACATGATCAATCCTCTTCATCCTCTTCATCCTCTAACTAATAATTGCCGCTATTTATTTAAGGTTTAAATTATCATTTGTTTATATATATATATGTATATATATATTTTAGTACAAATAGTTTACTGTTTGTTTATTTTTGCACCTCAAAAAAAAAAAAAATAAAATAAAATTTAACTTAGATTTCGTAGCTTAGATTTTTGTTTCAAACATTTGCATATCATAAACAAACTAAAAATGTTTATACTTCATGAGTTAATCAATTTTAGTAATACCAAAAAAAAAAAGATTTTATATTGGTCGTGATTCACGGAAAAATTAAAAAATGATAGTTCCTAATATTTATTTACTATATATAATATAGAAATTTTAATATTAGCACAAATATTAATTATTATTGATATAATGTAGTACTCGTAAATTGTGATACGAACATTTCTCGATCTACACTTTTATCTATACATCATATAAAATTTGAGTAATTTCCTGCGCAATTTACTGTAATCTGCCTCCATCTTTTTCTCCATTACTTGAAAGTTTTGTTGATATACTGTAGTACGTATAAAGTATTATCTCTCAAATTGTTTTCTGGCAAATTTACTTGAAAGTTAAAAGGCATTAAATAAAAATAAGTATTAAGAGTATGAGATTTATACTTTATAAAATGTTATTTAAAACAATAAAAATCTTTATTTTTATATATAAATGATTTAAAAGATTAAAATTGAAATTTAAGAAATTTTGTAATAAATGTTTTGAAAATTTTTACAAATTTAAAAGATAAATTGTAGTTATAAGATATAAAAAAAAAAATAGTGACTCTACAACCAAAATTTTAAACCAAGATCGAGCTATAAAAAGAGCATCACTATAGCAACTCTAATTTTACACTTTCTACTAGTAGCAGCTCATGAACCGACTCATCCTTCTCATCGTGAAAA